ATGTCAGCCATATAGTACTAAACATTGTATTGCTATATCCCAGACCTACTGTGATTGATAAACACTACTGCAATATCTCAGGTATTGTAAACACTACATGTTCATAAACATGTCATTTGTATTGTATAAACATAATTTGCAAAATATCATTTTGTACATTACAACAATATCTATTGTGTACAATGAACAGTATAATTTAGAATAGAAAAGGAATATTTGAATAATGTATTGTGGCACACACTTTCAATTCTCATCTGTTAATAAACACTCTATTACAATATATCAACCATACAGTATGCACTGTATTACTGTATCCCAGACCTATAGTGAATGACGAACACTACTGCTAGTAAACACAATACTTTCATAAACATGTAATATATAATCTATAAATATGCCATTGCAATGTAACTATTTTGTACATTATAGTAAAATGCTTACTGCATACAGTGAACAGAGCAGATTTGAAAAGAATAGGAATGTGATTAATATAACACTGCACACTTTCACAATATCATCTAAACATTATTACTTACCTTTACTGTATTAAACACAATGCTTTCATTACGTTTTAAGTTTTTGTTACAGTGAATACAGAAGAACAGATTAGAGTAGGCATATTAATAGGCATGTTAGAATAATATAATGAGTGAATGAACGCAGTCTTTGAACTACAAGAAACTTTGAGTCTGTTTAATCTGGTAAAGAGTGGAGTTAAAGTGTAATTTGTGCTTCTAGACTCTGTTAAGGGTTCATTTATCCCCTCACGCGCGCTTTATTATGACTGGATGCTGTTTGTTATTCATATTCTGCGGCCGAGCGGCATTGTTTTGGTGGAGAAATTGGTTGTTTCTCCTCCACCTGCTCTGTCTGCACGGCTCTCCTACTCGGTATCCGTACACGGAAGAGGAGCACACACACACACACACACACACACACACACACACCAGCAGCCATCGCAAGTCCTGTTAGGCACGAGAGCACAGCTTTTCTCCACCTTTCTTTCCTTTTTTTGTGAATCAGTAACTGCTGTGAATCTCTCAGGCTCATCCTGAATCCCTGAGGACTCACACCTATTCTGCTGCCAGCGGCTGATGCAGCCCCGACTGCAACACTACGGCGCTCAACTCATTAGAAATGACAAAATAAAGCCCTCCGCACGCGCTGCATTGCTGAGAAATCAACAGTAAACACAGATAATACGCCACTGGGCTCGTGTTAAAGTGCAGCAGGCATTCGCTCACTGTCTGGCGACAGAAAAAGGCACAGCAGAGAGAGAGAGAGTGAGAGAGAGAGAAGGAGGGAGGAGGAGATTTGATAAATCTTCTCTTTATTTACCTGCATTCATTTTATTTTATTCGTTCGTGCGTTTCCAGGCGCTCTGTTCTAGCTGCGCGGCCCTATTTGTGAATATTTTACCCCAGCGTGCGTTCTTTGCGTCGTGCTCCGCGCGCTTTGGAAATAATACGCGAAATGTTTCGAATGTTTGTGTGCGCGCGCCTCGTCGTGCGCGCGCGCGCAGCCGCTTCACTCTAATCAAGCTGATTAAAAATTCCTACGCGCGCGCACAGCCCGGAAATCATCCGCGCGCGCACCCCCCACCCCTTCCAGCCCGCCCCCCGCCCCCTTCTGCCTTCTTTCTACCTTGCTTGCTTTTTTATTTCCATATTTGCTTTTTAATTTTTTCCTCGTCGGCTCGAAAATCCGCTTGAAATCGCTTTTATTTTTTTATCGGGCATTTTTGTTTCTCAAACGGAGAGCAAGAAAAAAGGCAGAGCGGAGCGGAGGGGAGGGGAGTGATGAGTCAATACAACTAATAATTTAATGGGGACAGAGAGAGAGAGAGAGAAGGAGGAGGGGGAGGGAGAGAGGGAGGGGGAGAGAGAGAGAGAGAGAGAGAGAGAGAGAGAGAGAGAGGGCGAGGGAGAGAAACGGTCCGGGCGCGAGCTGAACGAGCCGAAGAGCCGCGTGAGAGGCGGAGGGGGGAAGCGGCCATGCGGCTCTGACACACACATACACACACACGCACGCACACGCACACATACACACACACACACACGCCTTCATTCGCCTTCGACGACGAGCAGAAGCACATCGCACTTTTAAAGCCTCGCTCGCTCGCGCTCATACAGGCACACACCGTCGCGAGACCGTTCGTTCTTCACGCGGACCGAGAAGCACACGAAGCAGCCTCGGTGAAGCGGCGATGACCGAGGGAGGCTCACTTTCAGCCCGAGCAGCAGCAGCATTAGCCCGGTGAAAAACTACCAGCTAAAGACTCGGAGCTCCATTCCAGCTCGCTGTCTGCCATCGTTTCATCAGATCAGATCAGCTTCATCGCCCGGGACAGCGCACTTTCAGCCTGTTTACGCGTTAGCACGGTCTTATATCATGCACGTAAACGCCGCGCAGTCGTCCAGCGTTAAGAAAGCGGAGAATTTCCAACCAAAGGACTGACCGATCCCCGGTTAGAACAAGGGCTGCCAGAGCAGCATCAAACGCTAAAGTTTTCCTCCTCCTCAACTAAACTTGCAAGACGCTGTTCACCCAGACGCCCCTTTATATGCTTTCCAGTTTTTTCCTGGTGAGTTTTTTTCACGCTTGTCATGTTTTCTTTTCTTTTTTTTTTCAAGCCGTCATTCACTTTTGCATGATTGTACATGCTATGTGATTGTTTTTTCCTTCTCTGCCTCCTCTTTTGTTCTATACACGCTTTGACTATTTAATTCAAATGTGTCAAGTGATTTCACTTACATGAGCACCACTGTTGTCATTTTACTTCACTGCTTCACTAGAATGTATATTTTATTCATGTGTTACACCTTGGGATCAAATTCAAAGCACCATTTTCCCCACTGTATACAGAAGATATACAGAAATAGAGGCCACACTAAATTCCAGGCATGATTAATAAGCTACTATTGTTGGTTGTGTTGTGTTCCCTCCTTATACTCGCTGAAATATGACTTTACACCTCTGCATCGCAAGATAAATGGATAAACAGTTGTTATGAAAAGTTTCTGGTGAGCAGAGTCGGTGATTTTTTATCCCAGACGTAAGAATGAGAATGCTGTTGTGCACAGCCATAATCCCCTGTAGGTTGAAACTTATTCCACAGTAAACTCACTGGAATTTACTGCTTTAATATTTTGGATTATAGCCTAATGTTTGCCTCGTAGTGGTAAAAGTTGTTAATAGGCCCCGGCAGAATTGCATTTTCACTGTGACAGTGTGTTTCACTGTGAAGAAGCACTTCTCTGAGTTACACCACCTGTCCCGTCCTACACTGATTTGTTTTGTGATTTAAACAAACCCGCAAAAGATGACACATTTGAATAACACCAGTTTTGTGGAACAATTAGTGCCAAAACAAAAAAGAAAAATCTTTGCACGCCCCCTCTCTTTTTCTTTTTTTGCCTTCTCTGGAGTAAAGAGGTGCATATGTCACTATTTATGCAGAACTATTTAATGATCCTCTTTTAATCCTTTTTTTAAGGGCCTTCCCTAAAAGAGTGACAATCAGTCTATAAAGTGATTTTGTGCTCTGAATGTTTTTTTTGCGCAGTCCTCCTAGTGCTCGGTGGAAAGGTTTGCTGTACGGTGCAGTGATCACTGGAGTGGAATCCTCTGCAAATTAATGCGTTTGCACAAAAACTGGCTTGTTTGCTCTCCACATGGGATTCTGCAGTGGGACAGGCATTCATAATACATGCTCTAAAAAATGGGGAACATGGTGATGGCACGAAATCTTGTAAACGCCATGTAACATTAGCCTGGATTGGGGACTTTTTCTCTAGCAAATATGCACTTTTAAACCCTGGATTTTTTATGTGTCAGCAGTAAAGTTGCATTTGTATTTTTAAGGGGGCTTAAGGTAATTGATTTAGAGATTTTATTTTAATTGTTATTTTTACTTTTTGGTACTCCTAATGTATACAGCATGAATTATAGCATGTTTAGTATATTTTGTTTTGCACCGTTTATTAATGTGCCAAATCGTTTGTGTAGCATATCTTCACATGCTTAAGGCACAGTTGAATCCAGTGCGCTGTCACCCAGGACTTAGTAGAATGTGTAGTAGAATCAGTGAGAATTTTGCATTATCACATAGGAATTGTAGGTATAATTGTTGGGCTTATGTTCAAAGCAAATCACATACATCTCACATATCACATGTGTAAGATATAACTGTACACAGTTATAGGATGTGTTAAAACAACTGATTCCAGTGTGTTGCCACTCAGGACCCAGTGCACCTTCATGTGCAAGACCTGGGAGAACCGCTAGGTGTTTGACATTATTGTATGGACATTTTTATTAATGTATTACACCTAAATGTCTGTATATATACAGGATAGACATGTATACGATCCTATACACGTCTTCACAACTTATTCTTCTGCGTTATTGCTCGGGACGTGCGTGCATGAAATGTGCATTCATGTGCAGGAACTAGCAGAATTGCTGGATATTTTGTGTGGGAACTGCAATTAATCTATTACTCTTAAATATATAGCCGGAATCCCACACATATACAGAAATACACAGGTCCTGGCTATTTTCATACATTTATAAGAAAAGAAAATTAGTTTTATCCTTCGTGGCTGTAAATGTGCGCTAATTTAATCTGTTTTCATTTTTAGTAATCGACCTGTGCATACAGCACAAATTATAGCAGGTTTTGTATATTTTGTTTTGCGTCATTTATTGTATCAGGTTTAATTTGTTTTGTATTATACATTAATGTATAACCTTGTTTGTATAGGTTATTTTTACATGCATAAGACACAACTGTAACTCAGGACTTATGAAGTGTGTGAGACATAGCAGTATAACAGGAAGTTTTGCATTGCTCTGTGGGGGTTGGAGTAAAACTATTAGACTTACATGTATAGAGCAAAGGCCAAATGTAAGAGATGAGAATGCAAGTGTGGGTCTCATCAGCTGCCACTCGTTTTTGGGTCCACTTTCTAACATGAGGTCTTTCTTTCCATCCCCAGGTGAAAGTGAGCAGTGGAGCTGAGTCACGATGGATCATCTCAGCGACGCCTGCCTGGGGAAGGAGAACTGTGAGCTGGTCAGCAGCCTGAGCGAGGCCAAGCCCCCTCCAGCCAAGCTGGCGAGACTGGAGCAGAACGGCAGCCCTCAGGGCCGCTCACGCCTCGGCAGCACCGGGGCCAAACTAACAGGAGCCAGCTTCAAATCCTCCACGCACCTGCTTAAAACCTGCCACAAGAGGGGTGAGTGTAACCTGTCCACTCAGGAGAGCCACCTGGGGAAGCCCATATGTGTGCGGGCATGTGTTTTAGTGTTTAATGCTCTTTTACCCATTAACATTAAAGGACGTCCACACAGTGAACAAAAGTGATTCAGTAAGTTTACTTTATTCATATGTGTACTTAATTTCCACATTAATAACATATATTACTCCTACACAGTTACTGCCGAAGATAAGTAAAAGACAAATTTACATTGATGTAGTCAGTGTTTTTCTTGTGGAAATGGTATACTCATTTGAATAAAAAACACTGTAAATGCATTACTCTTTTCAGTGCTTATTATTCTGTAATCATATTGAAAACAATGTAAGATGATTTGGTTATTATTAAACTGTATGCTTGACTCAGGTCAGATGTAATGTGTGAGGTTTTAAGAATGAGGAATTGAGGTTCAGACAGATCTTAAGAGTTTAAGCAAACAAATGCATGTACGTTAGTGACGCTAGTAAGTATACTGCTTTGTTCAGTGTCACACATACATCAATGTTGCATCATTTTGAGAGTTAATGCTGAGAAGGGAGAGTGGAGTGGTGTTTCCTAGAAAAGGTCTCTTTTTTACCATGTCATTATTACAGTATTACAGCTCTTTTCATTCTGTCAGAACTGCACAGACGTCTTTTTAATTCAGATGAGCCACAGTTGTTACGCTATTGTTGCATGCCTCTATTAGAGTTAGGTCAGGATAGTCTTGGGTAATGATATTGTGGCGCTCTTTTTTCTATGAGCTTTGTGATTTAGCTTTAGATGTAACATTGTGATCCTCACTGTTTGTTCTGAACTCCCCTGCTTGTCCTCCGTTGTTCAGGATAGGCAGCAGTGAACTTCTGACGAGTGTTTGCTGAACTTTTGGAGGCTGCAGTAGGCATTGTTTCCGCCGAATAATATTTAGCATGGGCTCTTCTCAGCTCGCAGCAAACAAAGCATGTATTGATCCCAAAATGAACCTACACAGCAGTCTTTATTGTTAGATCTTTATCTATTAAAAATGGAAAATCCCCACTTCAGCACATTCTTTGGCATCTGTTTGTGATTACCCTATTTATTGATTAGTTGCCAGAAAATGTTGGCATCCTCAGGAAGGTCGTACCTTGGGTTTCGGAACCAAACCGATTATGATGTTGTGCTTTAATATTACTCCCTGCTTCCTCCCACATACACTCACACAACCATACTTGTGTATTAAATAAAATAAATTTAATGGATCTTCCAAGTTCCTCTAAATTTCAGCAGTGGAGTGTTTCAGCTGGCTGGTATTAAGTGATATTTGCACAGTAAACCCAAACACATGACTGCTTTGGACAAGGATTCTTCATTTTTCCTAATAGTAGGGAAGTGTTTACACAGATTTGTAAACCTCGGGGCTATATGGCGGAGCTGCCACAGAGCATCGTGGGAGGGTTACAGGGAGTTAGCAGGAGAACTTTTCTAGCATGACAAGAGCACCTAAACAGCAAATTAGCATTTGAAGCCCCTAAAGAGTTTTTTTGCATCTGAGCATGCTAACCAGTTTCAGAAATGAAATCACTGCCAAACGTATTAGATCCATTTACATTAGTTCCAACATACATGTTCTCTTTTAATGTTATATACACTAGAATGCAATGGAATGCTTAATAGTGCATTGTGATCAATTAGTGGTTTCTTTGTTTTGTAGTATACAGTTGTATGCAAAGGTGTGAACCCCCACACACATCCCTCCCCCCCGGCAAATTACATGTAACGCATATTTTTGTTTATTTGCGGAGTTTAACATGTTGGGAGAAAGACATAAAATGTAAAATACGGCAAAGCTTTTTGCACAGGCCACATTTTGTGTATGTTAATTTCTGCAATATGTGTGTATTTTTACTTAGAAAATCAACAAAACACATGTAATTTGACCAGGGTCACCCAAACTTTTGTGTATGACTGAATATAATGTAATGTGTATGTATACAGTTATTAATATCTGTATTTATATATTGTAAGAAAATGATTCATATATATATATATATATATGTATGTATCATTATAGCTCACTGTTAAAATTATAATATAATAACATGACATATAGTTTAACGCCCCATGCTTTTTGCCATCTGTGGAATAAGAACCTCTGAGGATGTTCTTACTGTTCGGTGTCATGTGTTATAGGTAACATGCTGCCAGTGTTCTGTGTGGTGGAGCACTATGAGAACCCTATAGAGTTTGACAGCAGAGAAGAGCATGCAGAGTTTGTGCTGGTCAGGAAGGACATGCTCTTCAATCAGCTGATTGAGATGGCTCTCCTCTCACTGGGCTACTCACACAGCTCTGCTGCCCAAGCTAAAGGTATGCCCACACGCACACATGCACTCTCTCTACACGTTGAATATTTAATATGCTTCTTTCAGATATCCACTCATACAGCATATACTATGTTTTCTGTTGGGTAATATATACATTTTAACTTTACTGACTGGCATTTTATAAGGTTTTCTCTCGAATTACTTGATATCACAAAATGACCAGTGTTAAGTAAACTCCTGCAGAGTTCTACATTAGTTCGACATCCATGCGTGCTGCATATACACCATTTTCAGTCACGTGATGTCCAAATATTTGGCTTTTCTGACTGACATTTCAAAAGCTTTTTTCACTTTTTCTGAAGTATCTGTACATCATACCACAAAATCACGTGTTAAATAAACACCCACAGAGTTAAAATGTGGCTATACATTTTTCTATACATTCCATACATACCTTATTTATCATGTTTTCAGTCATATAATATCCAAATATTTGGCTTTTCTGACAGTTCTTTGAAAAGGGTTTGTGGTAAGTAAATATAAATCATACCGCAAAATTGGCGTTGTTAAACAGCCTGAATATAAAGTAAGTGAAATTATTAAGTCAGCCTGCGGGACGAAATGTAAATGGAGTTTTAGAGTGCTTATGCCGATACCTCCTAACTCCCATGTCTGGGTCGATCCAGTTGAGGTCAGAAGAGGTCAGAGCAAAACGGAGAGGCCAGGTGCGCGCCCTCCTCCCCCGCTCCATACAGTAATCACACTCATCTCGATAGGGCTGCAGCGTGGAGGTGGCCTCCACTGCCATTAATTGCTCTCTTTATGGAGCCAGGGCTATTTTAGGCGCTATGGCCCACGGCCCGTTATTCCTTACAGGCTGTCCGTCATGAACTGCTGTGTTTTCTGTCCGTCTGCCTGATGGGCTTTTTTCAGTTCACACTAAGCTGTTGAACATGACTCACTTTCAGAGGTGAGGGAGAGACACATCTGATTGTGTCTGCTTATGGTTTAGTAGTCGATAGCGATTTTTGTAGTTAATACTATCTCGACCAACGTGGATCAAGTGCTGTGTGTATTTTTTGAAAATGCTGAAATGCAGATGGGACCATTCCAGATGGCCTGGTTTAGGTTGAGCATAGTGCTGGTTGGCATTGATAAA